ATATATATGCGTGTTCGGACTAAACAATAGGGCATCGTACTTCTAATATGGCCTACAAGTGGAAGGCGGAGACAGCGACGTATTTGAACATACCGGAAGAACACACTTTATGTTTTTACATCATGGTTACACCCTGCGCACGTAACGCGTTTTCAGACAGCGCCGCACGCTCTCGCGTATAAGTTACCAACATCTACTCGTTCCAATAACGTTTTCATCTTTTTATTGCTCTCGTTGTAAATATAGCAATAGAAATTTCGCATCAGTGGGAGGGATATGAATTCATAATATCGATCGTTAATGGATCGTTTAATCACGAGTCGCTCGTGAGCGGTAAACAGCATAGCAGTGAAAAGGAAATGTCTGAATGGAATGTTGTCTAGTTCATTCTGCACAACATGTTTGACCTCTAGTTTTCGCTTATGAGATAAATATGATAAACAGTGTCATCTATGCAAATGATCGCGCGTATTTCGCTTGCGTTAGATCTACCCTTTCTATCTCATTTTAAAAGCTGCCTATTCATTTAAAAGAAAAGTCCTCCATTACGAACTTTTATAATTTCACCGGTAACTCTAATATGCCACTGCATAGATCTTTTGAAGATAAAAGGATGCTGTGCAAAAGAAAAAAAATACTATATCTTTACTAATAACATATGTCACGGTATATTTCCAATAAATCTTATTAGATTTTAAATTAATACAAAATTTCAGGATGATGGCGGATTTATAGCACCATTTAATCAACAATTCAAAATACAACAAAAACCTTCGTTACATAAACACCCATTATGTGAACCTCTGTTGTCTGGATATTCCATTACATAAAGAGTATATTTGTTTGTCTAAGATAAAGCCCATTTAGTAATTTAGGATGAAAGACATAAAACACACTTGGAACATTGTACAGGATGAAGCACTTAAAACAGACCACCTGAATAACTTGGCTCCTATTGGTGACAGGAAAAATGCATAGGGCCAAAATTATTTGGTATCGAGGGACTAATCATCTGGTGTTACTAGTTTTTTGATAGATGGAGGCGTCAAGGAGATTTGAAGGTCATCCCTGTTTCATGAGTATTTCAAAACGAATACAACGACCTATTGAGAAGGTCATTCGTGGTCTGGGTTAAGCCAATTGTGATGGAAAATAGTTTACTTTGATTGAGTCTGATTGAGGTTGATTTATTTATTTAACCGTAATACACCACTAACACAAGTGTTCAAAATGGTGGCATTGAACCATAAATACACTGCACTGTTTAACTTATTATTTTCAGCTGCTAGAATCATGTACCTTTTCAAATATTTCCTATGTCCTGTACATTCTATGTGATATTTTAATAATAACTCTTTGTTCTTCTTTATCCTATGTACTGTGATAATTGGGATATTATATTGAATTCGACTATAATACGTTCACTGCTCCGTAAGTATCAATAGAAAATGCATTGCGGTTGTATCTATGAATGTTATGAGTTCGGATTCTGCAACGTAGAGGGCCGAGGTCGAAGTACTTTGTGGACTCTCTCACCACAAGTCCTCAAACCTAGTTATCAACTTCACGGTTGGCACAACTGCCGCGATCGTTTCTCGCTCGCGATTTTCAATTATTCACGATGTAACACTTTAAAATCATCTCTCAAGGTCGAGAACTTGACCGAGACGGACGCGTTAATTTGTTCTCGTGTTAACAAGGAAATAAAACCACTCAATATTCTCGGTTTGTGATCCCTTTATTTCCTACGAACTTCTAAATATGTACACGGGCGACACCAGAACATTGCAATTTGTAGAGTGCTGCCGATGGCCCCTCGTAGCTACCAACTCCACAACTTTCCCTCACCGCAATAGTAACAACAGGGCCGACCCCCTACCAAAACGTAATTAAGTACCTGGCAGCCCGCTTCGAACATTCGCGTGGTAATTGTGCTGTTACAACGGATTTATGGACGAATGACTATATGAAGATCATAGAAACGAGGAGTTGGGCGCTAAGCTTCATATAAATGAAGTCCTACTGTATTTACTTTTTCAGGTGCATAATTGTTTCTTCAACAAGAATGATCGACGTCCAGCGATGCGATTGTATCTACGAATGTTAGGAGTCTTGATAAACAAGAAGTTGGGCGCTAAGCTTCGCATAAATAAGGTCTATGTATGTACTAAATTTGCATTTTCAGGTGCATGATTGGTTTTCCAATAAGAATGGTCGACGTTCAATATAGATAATTAATTCATTACCTCAATTGAGGGTGAACGAATTCTAAATAATGAATCGGAAGCGATTTTCTAAATAATAAAGTGTCTCCTTAGCAAGGACGGATTAAACTGACTAAGCTGACCTCCGGGTAGCCCGGAGGTCTAAAAGTACCTCAACTTAAAGA